ACAATGAATGATAAATTATCTTAATGCCATGAATGTCTGTGTATCATATTCCTTGCTTTACATGGTTACTTTGCACCACTTGTATCAATAGATTATAATGGAATGTCAGAAGATGCAGACATGAAGCCTAACCATGGGATGAACTTTGACCTTTCAACTGACCCAGGCCCCATGCTGAATGTAAAGCTTGTTTGGCTTGTTGACAGAACAGCATGCGTGCACAGAGCAAAGGCAAATGCACTTGCCTGTTTAACTCCTTCTTGGCTTTGGTATGTGTGCTATGACGTGGGAGAGACACTTAATAGTCTCTCTGCATTCATCAAAACATCATAGACAAAGCATGTTCATTCTCTGTATTCCACTAATATATATACACACACTGGATTGCAGAGTACCGACAGGCTACAAACCAACTTTGTTAGTACACAAAGGCCCAGTGGCAAAGCATGCATCATTCACCATGTCATTCCCAACGTACATTCCCAGACATACAGCATTCTTACACACACACACACACACACACACACACACACACACACACACACACACACACACACACACACACACACACACACACACACACACACACACACACACACACACACACACACACACACACACACACACACACACACACACACACACACACACTGGATGCTTATGTACAGAGACATGATTGTTAAATGAGCATACATTCATACCCAAACACACATGCAAACATGCAAAAATATACAGTTATTCACAAACAATCTGTGAACAAACATTGTTTAACATAATCACACAACTAGGACACACACTCTCATCGCCATGTCACAATTAGCCAGCCTGTCTACCCATGAAAGCAAAACAGTTGCATAAGTTCCCTGTATCTGTTTAACAATAATACCATATGACCAAAATAAAGTTTTCAAATGGTTTTCCTGTCAGCTTACAGTCCTCATTACGGAACCCCTAAAGGGATATGGTGGTGGAAAATATATATATACAGTATCATTTTTTTTTTGCAAGCGAAACCAAAGTTTCTTGGAACAACACAAAACATTTGCAAGAGAACACAAAAACATTGACTTATCATTTTTCCGCCCGTCTCATATTTTTTCCATCACCATGTACGGGGCTCCGTACTTCTTAAAGTCAGCATGAATAAAAACGGTCTAACTTATTTGAATGTACGTTTTGGCATTTACATTTAATCATTTAGCAGATGCTTTAATCCAAAGCGAACGTTCTTTCAATCTTCCATTTGTCCTGTTGTCAACAGACTCAAGCGCATTGAGTATGTCAGAAACTGAATGTGTGTCTGTATATTGTATCCAGTGTAGACAGTGTCAGTGATTATAATGGCTTCTTTTTGTTTTTGACGTGACATAATGCTCACATCCAGTGTAGGCAAATATCAGCCATTAAAGGGTGTTAGTTCACCCAAAGACTGTACTCATACTCCTAGGTGTATATGACTTTCTTCTTTCAGCCAAACACAATCAGAGTTAAAAATATCCTGGCTCTTCCTAGCTTTATGATGGGAGTGAATGGTACCATTTTTTTTAAGCCCCCCCCAAAAAAGCACACCCATCCATCATAAAAGTAATCCATATGGCTCCAGGTGGTTAATAACGACCTTCTGAAGTGAAGCGATGACTTTTTGTAAGAAAACTGTCCATAACTTTATAAACTGTAATCACTAGCTTCCAGTAACATCCGTCCGCACATTCACAAGAGAGTCGAGTTCCGGCGTATGACATATGATGTAGGAGTGGGTGGCATAAGCTTAGGTGAGAGTGGACGCCTTTCAAACAATCAGGGCTGGGCAACAAACTCAAGCTTTTCTGACATTTTACTTTAAAAACTACTCGTTTTAGACGTCTTATTCGTGACCGGTGTTTTGTTTTATCAAACAAAATAATCATCATGCGTCGGGCCAGAGGTCACTCTTCCGCCGGAACTAGACTCACGTATGCGCCCGTTACCGGAAGCCAGTGATTAGGGTTTAAAAAGTTATAAATATAGAATTTATTTCTTACAAAAACGCACCGCTTTGCTTCAGAAGGCTGTTATTAACCCCCTGGAGCCTTATGGATTAGTTCATGATGAATGGATGTGCTTTTTTGGGCTTCAAAAAAATTAGTACCATTCACTCCCATTATAAAGCTTGGAAGACATATACATTTTTTTAATATAACTCTGATTATGTTTGGCTGAAAGAAGAAAGTCATATACACCTAGGATGGCTTGAAGGTGAGTAAATTATGGGATAATTTTCATTTTTGGGTGAACCAACCCTTTAAAGTGACTGAACGCCAGTGGGAGGGGCCTATGGTGTGATGTATAACTATTCGTTGTTATTCGCTCTGCAGGCAGTCATTTGCAAATGTATACCCGTCTGATGTCACAGATCTTTATTTTTTATTATTAGCTTTATTATTATTTTATTTAAAATTCATGTGCTCTCATAAACGTTAATCAAAAACATCTTTCCCTCCCCCTTGCAACTGACATCTCATCAAATCCCACCCTACATTTTTCTTATTCAAGAACAATTTATACTGTAGTACTATTACACATTGTCTAAAACAGCCCAACCAATGGCAGACATAGATAGTGAAAACATATTTGAAAAATAGTTTTTTTTTGCACATTTCAGTTGCATTTAATGGTTGCAGGCAGCCATCACTAAACGAATGCTTTAATAAGCTTCTGTTGAAAGAGCGAGGATATGTGTTTGTGTGTGTGATGTGCACATCAGCATAACAAATCTGTGTAGTTTTTTAACTTTCCACAAAGACAATTAAATACTTTTTCTTTGTTTTGCTCAAAGCCTATAATAATAATCTTATTGAGGTGTCAATCAAATGACTATTGTGTGTTTTTCCCTTTTTTCCCCAAAGAGTGGCACATAGTCTTTTGTCAATACATCTCACTGCATGGCTTTGCCTAGTGAACTGTTTTCTCTCTTGCTCTCTATCAGAAGAAGGTGCAGTAATGAAACGGTCTGTTCTCTCACTAGTCTGTTAATTACTTCTCTATTTATTTAGCCGTTGTGCTGTGGTGATGGGAGGCCCTGGGGATTGTCTGACTCCCATGCTAAATAGCCTGCATTCCAATCCCTTGATGCCCAGGCTAATACCATCCTCACTTTCATCTCCACGGCCTGGCAAATTAGCACCCATCTGACTCCCCATAGTGAAAAATAAGGGTATAAAGGGTCGCATATAGCATCCCGGAGTAATGTTCTGACCACTGGAATATCTGTTATATACTCATACACACTGTGACTTGACAGTTTTCTGCTAATGTTTTAGCCAGAAACCGTGATCCTCAAAAAATCTGTTAAAATGATTTATCTTTTAAAAAACAAACAAACAAAAACAAATCTCACCCTGTATTTTTGTATAGTTTCCAGTTTCATATGCTTAAAACAAGAAAAAAGTCCAATAAAATAAAGGGGGAAAACAGTAAGGTAATGGCATTTTTCTTTCTTGTTTTAAGAATAAATGTGGTGATGTGGTATACAGGTATATATAATAGAATATATATAATAGAAAATATATAATAGAATATATTGTATATATTTTGTGTCAAGTAAATTGATCTTTACTGTATATTTTTGGGTATTTTTACTAGGAAAAAATGCGCTGATTACGTGTTTTATTTTATTTTTATTTTTTTAGTGTGTGCGTATAGTTTAGCATGCTAACCCATGCCAGCCTTCACGATCACCCAGTGTACAATCACAAAGGGAGCAGGAACACTAACCTTTTCTCCTGTCTTTGGATCTGTTTCTTTTTGCATTTACCATAGTTGCTTAAAATGTCACATGGCACAAATCTGATCCCAGGTCAGCATTTCATCATCAAACTGTTCCCTGTAGGAGGGCCTCTCACTCTGGCCTTTTGCTGTTGTGAGAGCAATAGCTGAAGTCTGTGTTCATCTACATAAGAATGCTGCCCACTTCACAGAGGAAAGAGGAGGGCCGCACAAACTGATGAAAACTTTTCCTGTTCCCCCAAGCCTTTTCATTCCTCTCTTTCCTTTTTCTCAAGACTTGGCTGAGATGTTTCACACACACACAGAAATAAAACCTTCTTAAAACGTGGCGTTTGAACATAACACATGCTTATAAAACAAGGTCAGTGTAGTAACAGGAAAGTAGCTACAGACACAGCTAGTCAAACTTGATTTTTAAAGACCATGATATCCACCATGCTTCCACCAAGATAATGTTATCTCTGAGACAGTCAATGCTTAAATATTTAGTAATGCATTGGAATGCAGAAAAATACCCACTTTTTTCCTCATGTCATCGCTTCGGGGTTATAGTGTGTTTTTGTTTTATTAGGGCAGAATGTCTAAATGTAGTAGGGCCTAAGGTTTAGGATTATAAAGTGGATCTTGGCTAGTTGTCTTGTCACACAATAAAATTGCATATCTCAGTAACTACCCAGCTAACAAAAGTGTTCATTTGTTAACGTTCTCACTATGTTATGAAAACGTTTTTTTCTTAATGGTTTCTGAACATTCAAAAATAACGTTTTTTTGTGCTAACATTTTGATGACGTTATTAAAGACCAGATCAATTTAATTGAATGTTATATTAACGTTACTAGAAGAACGTTGTTCATAACTTTAAGAGAACATTGTCAGAACGTTAGCCCCGTTCGAATGTCCGATTACATATTTTGCATATGGCATATTGTCACAAACTGTATTTTTAATGGGAATGTTTCATTAAAAAAGTGTAACAACTAGGCTCTAGCCCCTGGCTGGCTTCCCATACAAAGAGTCTGTAGAATTCATAATGATTTTAATGTAAGAAAAGCGTTGTGAATGGGAGCTCCTCCTCAACATCAAGTATACTGCATGTGTACAAGTTTGAGAGAGAGAGAGAGAGAGAGAGAGAGAGAGAGAGAGAGAGAGAGAGAGAGAGAGAGAGAGAGAGAGAGAGAGAGAGAGAGAGAGAGATTGTGCTGGTTTCTCCTCCCATTGGCGACTTCGCACGATGGCAATGTTGAGCAGTGTAGGGTTGATCATGATCATGTGACTGACAGACAGCTTTGGGAGAGAACGGCACTGAACACAGAAACATCAGGCGAGACTAAAGGAGTTTCCACAGCGCGACAGATAGAGCCTACAAGTTAACATTGCCTCTGCTTTAAACCCGTTATTCAAGTGCTCTGAAACACATCGACGGTCGGTGAAAAAGTCCTGGGAGAAGAAGAAGAAGCTGTTTTCAACAGCCAGGATAGAGGTTTGGTGTGGTGGCTATAAAACATAATCTGTAGAAGAGGAGAGACGAACAAATCTCAGCGGGCATGCGGGAGTTTTTGGAGTTATTTGACTGCAAACATTCTACAAACAAATAAGAACTTTCGCGCAGATTCGTTTCGTTAATTGCGTCATCATTTTTTTTTAACTGATGATTGAGGGTGATACAAACTTGGAACTTTGTGTTTGAAAAGTAACGTTAGTAGCAACATCGGGTCAGAAGTTTGGAATAAAACGGAAAACATATCAAACCCCTCCGTTTGCGTTTTTGTGGGGGGCTGTCGTGTTTTTCCAAAGCTTAACGCGTTTTTTTAAGCTTTTTTTGGGGGGGCCAATATTTTAAACATGGTTGGGGAAATGGAAACGAAGGAGAAGCCTAAGCCGACTCCTGATTATCTGATGCAGCTCATGAATGACAAGAAACTGATGAGCAGCCTGCCAAACTTCTGTGGCATTTTCAACCATCTCGAGCGACTGTTAGATGAAGGTGAGAGTGCGAATGAATGTGTTTGGAAGAACTGCGGATGCTCGCAGATAGGCATCCTAAAAATGTCAGTGTTGTTATTTTTCCGTTTCAGTTAATCTTTTAATCACTTTTATTCATTCCAGTGATTCGAGTTTTTTTATTCGTTATCCGATTAATTTAGTATAGGCCTACACTTAGCAAGTCACTATGTTGTTGTTACGCCAATGGGTGGCGACAAGTGCATATGATTATGAGTGAGTCTTTGAATCATTCACTCCTGATTCGTTGAAAGCATCAAGTCTTATGATACTTTATTAAAATGTCCGTGCTTGCTAATGAGACTATGGACCTAAGTGTTTATGCATCATTCATGTTTTGTCACCTATGCTGCAAAAAGCTACGACTTTTGTCATGCAGCAGCATTATTAGAGAGTCAAAAAAGTCATTTCTACACATAATTTCTCTCTTCTTTATTGTGAACAAGTTTAACTCTGCATGTGCTTCCTCAAAACAACGACTTGTTCAGTGATGGAAGGAAGTGTGTTCTTTCAATTGATCCAACTAATGAAATTATTTTTCACAGCTCTTACTTTAAAGCTATTGGCTTGCCTTGTGGTTTAGTCAGTATTTGAAACCAGGAAAGCAGTCAAAAGAAAGGGATTTTGATGAACGAAAGATATGTCTCCATGAAAGCAAACAACAGCGATTTGTCCGAGGACATGGCTTATTTAAAAAAAAACATTTGTTCATGAACGAAAGAACACATTGGCTTATCACTACAGAAAGTTATTCATTCTTTCAGACTGTAACAACGATGCTAATGACCATGTTCTGATTTTTAACAGGCTTCAGAAACATATAAGACAGTATCATTTCTTCCCTAAACGACAATATAGCTGAAAAAGTTTTTTTTAAAAAAGTTTGCTCAAATGAATCAGTTACATGACCTGGAAATGTCTTTAATCATATCCAAACACACTGAGATATTTTGCAGCACGCTTATTAAATCAGCACAGATGAATTCAATTACAAAATATCATTACGGGCCATGGTGTAGCTGGGTGTACTCGGATTTGGGGAACTGATGGCTGTAATCGAGACTAACCTATTGTTTGCTTTGTGAATTTAGAGGTATGGCTATTTTTAACACATACTACAGTGGCATAACATCTGTCTAGGCTCTCCAGACCTGGATGGTATTGTAAAATAAGTTTTGTACTTAAAGTGAAAAGCTTGCGTTTGCTCAGAGTTGACACTTCAAGCATATTCAAATGATGCAGAACGCATGTAACAGTTTTCCTCTGAGAATGCAGGGGAAGCGAAGGATGTGATAACAGAACCACTTCTCTCTTTCTCCCTCTCATTCTAATCAGCCCATGGCCCTGGTTTATTTCATTCCCAGTTTATTGCTGATAATCCAGTGTAATAATATAAATGTTATCACTGCAATACTTTCATAGAGAGAAGGGTGATCTGTTAGATTTCTATATATTCATTGGTACACTGAAATCTCTTTATTCATCATAGCTTGAGTCACCCATAGCTTGTGGCATATTGAAGTATGTGTCATTAATAACCTCACACTACATGAGGGTTTTCACTTCCTCTGTTTAGAGCTAATTTAGCCTTATCTATTCTCTTCAGCTGAGCAAATCACAAACTGGTTGGAACTCTTGAAATGTTGATTGTCAGGTGGAATTACAAAGTTTAGCTTTCTTTGATCTAGCTTTCTTCTCACAAGCACAGTTTCTGAATCACCCACTACATTTTGTATAGCTTTAGTGTCTCATATATTTTCCTTGAATGAGGATCCCAGTTCTGTCAGGTTATTTTAAAGAGGTTACTGTATAATAAGCTTGGTATTTTGCTTGAGCACAGGCTATTTTTTCCACACACTCATTGGATTTTATGATGCCAGAGAACTCCATTGTTTGGGGTTTGCAGTTTTCAAATGTGTTAATTTATTACCTAAAATTGAAGGCATCCTGACAGTTTAGTTGCTCCTATAGGTTTATCTTTGCATTATTTAAAATGTACTGATTATAGCAGTTGTTCTTATGTCTATTGCTTGTTGTGTTCTAAATTAACACAACCCGTTAACACATACATTTATTTTATAACCCATATTATTTAATATTGTGCATTGTGGTGTGTTATTGGTTCTGGGTATTGTAAATCTCCAGTGTTGGTTTTCCAAGTGCTGCTCTTTTTCTTCTCACTTCTTTTGTGTTCCCTCTGAGGAACATACAGTATATTCTGCTGGTATGCAGCTAATTGAATTATTTGAGTAATTATGCCATCATCGAAGGAAAATATCTGGGAGTGAATCCAGAAGCAGTGTTGAACCTCTCTTTGAAAACACTGGCTTTTCTTTATCTGATTTAGATATAAAAAGAGACTTCGGAGCCCCAGGGGGCCTACTAGTGATTCAAAGATGAAATTGTTGCAAAATGTGCTTTTTTGTTCTTTTTACTGCAACTGTTCTGTTGCCTCTTATTATTGCGTAATATAAATGATATTGGGCTTGTGTTAACAACATTGCTCAAATGTTATTGTTGGAGGCACTTTCAATAAATGGGGTACAAACTATGGCCAAAAAAAGTATTTTCACTTTTTTTCAATAAATGGTCAGCAAAAGAATGTTCTTATCCTTCAGAAAACCATCCACCTCAGGAGGTCAAATAAATAGTATTTTAGAGGTTTTATAAGAACCCATCCCCTCGTTTAAAACGCCAGATTTGTTTTTCTATCAATAAAAGTTAAACAAATTAAACAGGCAATATGTATAAAATAAATTACATGGTTCCCATAAATAAAAAAAAAAAAAAAAAAAAATTTGATTGTGTTTTCTATCAATACACTTTAAATAAACATTGAAATGAAATAGACAAAATGTATATGGTTACCACACTGTAAAAAAGTTGATATTTAAGTACAATCAACTTTTCAATCAATTACATTTACTGTCTTAAAAAAATTAGTTGAATCTTGTATGACTAATAAAAAAAATAGAATATTGTACATTGTTAAATCAATGTAAAAACATGCTGTCATAACTTATTGATTATATATTTTTTACAGTGCATCTCATTTATAAAGTGCCTTGAACATTGTGATTTTTTTTCTTTTTTTTTCTGGTGGGGTATCTTTTAATGCTTGTATTTAAGTCTATCACTTAAATTAGTTATTTAAGTTTTCTAAATGTCTCCATAGCATCATGTATTTCCTAAAGGGGTGAAAGTTGCTCCAGGCAAATGTGATACTAGGAAAGTTTGAATTCTCACTAGTGCCTCTTGACCTCTGATTGTCCTCACATTATGGTCTTCTGGGTTAAACTGTAAAGTGCGGTGCTCTGGTCACCCTGTCCAAACATAGACTGGCACACGAGCAGTGAAGAGACGCCTCTCTGACCTATATGCATCATATGACCGTAACAAGGGCACACACAGAGTGGAGTGGAGCAAAGATCACATGATTCTTCATGAGTCTGTCATCACTTCATGACTGTTAGAAGTGCTGAATGTTCTACAGATAGAGATCAAGTGAATGTGTGTGTGTGAGAGAGAGTATCGGGTATTAATGTGCGTTCCAGGACACATTTTGTCACATATAATTGTGTCCATGTATCTATTATTTAACAAAGTTCATAATTGTTCCATATATTCATGCTCCCCTGAAATGCCTTTCAGTATCAATGTGTGTGAGTGAGTGTAGTTATATGACCTTTTCGACTCAGAATACATGTGACATCCATGGTCTTTGATTTTGACTGCATTAAGCTATTACCTCCTTAGCCAGATCCCGTGACACAGACAGAGCGAGATGCTGAAAGTCCCAGGGGAACAGGGTTTGGGATGAGGGCACACCGACTAGACAGCTTCCCTCAAATTCATGGAAAGTGCAGTCAGGACAGATGTCGCAAAATTAACATGCACTAAAGGAATCCTTCTGAAAGACTTTTCTGTTGGGAACCGGTGAATGAAAAAGGCTTAAATCACTGTTCAGCCCAATGAAAAGCTCCATCAGGGTGTCACACCAGTTATTATATTTAGCATCAGAAAATGTTGCAATTAGAAAACGTTTTATTAATAAAGCAATATTTTATTATTACATTTTACACTACTGTTCAAAAGTCTGGGCTCAGTTAGATTTTTAAAATATTTGTATTCAGCAAGGATGCATTAAATTGATAAAAAATAACTTTTTTTGCATTGTTACAAAAATATATTTCACATAAATGCTGTTCTTTTGATATTTCTATTCATCAAAGAATCCTGAAATTTTATGGTTTTATTTCTGTTAGTGTAATAGCTGTATTGATTTACATTGAGAGATGATCTTATGGAAAGTACCCCATGCCAATCTCTAGGTGTGGTGAAGGGTATATGTGATGATGATGTGGGGCTATTTTTATTCCAAAGGCCAAGGGAACTTTATCAGGATGCATAGTATCCTGGATCCATTAAAATATCTGGCCTTTAAAAATAAAAATCTGCCTGCCTCTATGGGAATTTAACATAGGGGTGTCCTGACTTATGCCCCCTGTATTTTAAGGAAGAACATTTATTTATTTACGATACATTATTCATTCACAAAGAACATTGGTGTTCTTAAAGGTTAGAGTTTTCCTCATTTTTTAAATTAAGGCATTAAGATAAATTTCCAAAAGATGATTTTTTTATTCCTCTTTTTAGTCAACTTTAGCATGGGTGTGTTCACTTATGCTAAGCACTGTATATGTTTTGTCCCAACATATTGGTAATTTGTTGTTTAAGCACCGATCCCATTCCGACTGTCATTTATTTTCGGGTGTACACATTTCATTTTGGTCTCAGATCTGTGAAAGGCACAGCATTTTACTGGTTCTGTTGATAATGCTTCTTTGACAGCACTGTCTGGAGACTTCTTTCAAAAACATAAAAAAAATCTTACCGACCTCAAACTTTTGACCGGTAGTTGATATTTTATTATATTTATATTTTTCAAGACATGATTTTATCCATCAGGAATTTATTGGATCA